TCTGTTCAGAACTTATTATGACAACAAAGATCACACCAGGAAAAATATGGTATGTTCAGAACTTATCAATGACAACCAAGAGCACATCAGGACAAATATGATATATTCAGAACTTATAAATGACAACCAAGATCACACAAGGGCAAATATGGTATGTTTATGGCTTATTAATGACAACCAAGATTACACCAGGACAAGTATGGTATGTTCAGAACTTATCAATGACAACCAAGATCACATCAGAACAAATATGATATGTTCAAAAACTTATTGATGAAAACCAGGATCACATCAGGACAACTATGATATGTTCAGAACTTATTAATGACAACCAAGATCACACCAGGACAAATACGATATGTTCAAAACTTATTAATGAGAATCAAGAGCACATCAGGACAAATATTGTATGTTCATGTCTTATTAATGACAACTAAGTTCACACAAGGACAAATATGGTATGTTCATGTCTTATGAATGACAACTAATATTGCATCAAGACAAATATGGTATATTCATGGCTTATCAATGACAACCAAGATTACTCCAGGACAAGTATGGTATGTTCAAGTCTTATGAATGACAACCAAAATTGCGTCAGGACAAATATGAACTGTTTATGGCTTATGAATGACTACCAAAATTGCATCAGGACATGTATGGCATGTTCATGGATTATTCATGACAAGCAAGATCACACCAGGACAAATATGGTATTTTCAGATCTTATTAATGAGACCAAAGAGCACATCAGGACAAATATGGTATGTTCATGTCTTATTAATGACAACTAAGTTCACACAAGGACAAATATGGTATTGTCAGAACTTATTTATAAGATCGAATAGCACATCAGGACAAATATGATATGTTCAAAACTTATTAATGAGAACAAAGAGCACATCAGGACAAGTATGGTATGTTCATGTCTTATGAATGACAACCAAAATTGCATCAGGACAAGTATGGTATGTTCAATGACAACCAAGATCACATCAGGACAAATATGATCTGTTCAGAACTTATTATGACAACAAAGATCACACCACGAAAAATATGGTATGTTCAGAACTTATCAATGACATCCAAGAGCACATCAGGAAAAATATGATATGTTCAGAACTTATTGACAACCAAAATCACACCATGACGAATACGGTATGTTCATGGCTTACTAATGACAACCAAGATCACACCAGGACAAGTATGGTATGTTCTGAACTTATTAATGAGAACCAAGAGCACAACATGACAAATATAATATGTTTAAGAACTTATTAATGACAACCAATATCAAATCAGGACAAATATGATATGTCCAGAACTTATAAATGACAACCAAGATCAAACCAGGACAGATATGGTATGTTTATGGCTTATTAATGACAACCACGATTACACCAGGACAAGTATGGTATGTTCAGAACTTATTAATGACAATCAAGATCACATCAGAACAAATACGATATATTCAATAACTTATTAATGAAAACCAGGATCACATCAGGACAACTAAGTATGATATGTTCAGAACTTATTAATGACAACCAAGATCAGACCAGGACAAATATGATATGTTCAAAACTTATTAATGAGAATCAAGAGCACATCAGAACAAATATGATATGTTCAGAACTTATAAATGACAACCAAGATCACACAAGGGCAAATATGGTATGTTCATGGCTTATTAATGACAACCAAGATTACTCCAGGACAAGTATGGTATGTTCAGAACTTATCAATGAAAACCAATATAATCAGAACTTATTAATGACAACCAAGATCACACCAGGACAAATATGATATGTTCAAAACTTATTAATGAGAATCAAGAGCACATCAGGACAAATATTGTATGTTCATGTCTTATTTATGACAACTAAGTTCACACAAGGACAAATATGGTATGTTCATGTCTTATTAATGACAACTAAGTTCACACAAAAACAAATATGGTATGCTCATGTGTTAAGAATGACAACTAAAATTGCATCAGGACAAATATGGTATGTTCATGGCTTATTAATGACAACCAAGATTACACCAGGACAAGTAAGGTATGTTCAGAACTTATCAATGACAACCAAGATCACATCAGGACAAACATGATATGTTCAGAACTTATAAATGACAACGAAGATCACACAAGGACAAATATGGTATGTTAATGGCTTATTAATGACAACCAAAATTACACCAGGACAAGTATGGTATGTTCTGAACTTATTAACGAGAACCAAGAGCACAACATGACAAATATAATATGTTTAAGAACTTGTTAATGACAACCAAAATCACATCAGGACAAATATGATATGTTCAGAACTTATGACAACCAAGATCACACAAGGGCATATATGGTATGTTTATGGCTTATTAATGACAACCAAGATTACACCAGGACAAGTATGGTATGTTCAGAACTTATCAATGACAACCAAGATCACATCAGAACAAATATGATATGTTCAAGAACTTATTAATGAAAACCAGGATCACATCAGGACAACTAAGTATGATATGTTCAGAACTTATTAATGACAACCAAGATCAGACCAGGACAAATATGATATGTTCAAAACTTATTAATGAGAATCAAGAGCACATCAGGACAAATATGATATGTTCAGAACTTATAAATGACAACCAAGATCACATCAGGACAAATATGATCTGTTCAGAACTTATTATGACAACAAAGATCACACCAGGAAAAATATGGTATGTTCAGAACTTATCAATGACAACCAAGAGCACATCAGGACAAATATGATATATTCAGAACTTATAAATGACAACCAAGATCACACAAGGGCAAATATGGTATGTTTATGGCTTATTAATGACAACCACGATTACACCAGGACAAGTATGGTATGTTCAGAACTTATTAATGACAATCAAGATCACATCAGAACAAAAATGATATGTTCAATAACTTATTAATGAAAACCAGGATCACATCAGGACAACTAAGTATGATATGTTCAGAACTTATTAATGACAACCAAGATCAGACCAGGACAAATATGATATGTTCAAAACTTATTAATGAGAATCAAGAGCACATCAGAACAAATATGATATGTTCAGAACTTATAAATGACAACCAAGATCACACAAGGGCAAATATGGTATGTTTATGGCTTATCAATGACAACCAAGATTACACCAGGACAAGTATGGTATGTTCAGAACTTATCAATGACAACCAATATAATCAGAACTTATTAATGACAACCAAGATCACACCAGGACAAATATGATATGTTCAAAACTTATTAATGAGAATCAAGAGCACATCAGGACAAATATTGTACGTTTATGTCTTATTAATGACAACTAAGTTCACACAAGGACAAATATGGTATGTTCATGTCTTATTAATGACAACTAAGTTTACACAAAAACAAATATGGTATGCTCATGTCTTAAGAATGACAACCAAAATTGCATCAGGACAAATATGGTATGTTCATGGCTTATTAATGACAACCAAGATTACACCAGGACAAGTATGGTATGTTCAGAACTTATCAATTACATCCAAGATCACATCAGGACAAACATGATATGTTCAGAACTTATAAATGACAACGAAGATCACACAAGAACAAATATGGTATGTTAATGGCTTATTAATGACAACCAAAATTACACCAGGACAAGTATGGTATGTTCTGAACTTATTAACGAGAACCAAGAGCACAACATGACAAATATAATATGTTTAAGAACTTGTTAATGACAACCAAAATCACATCAGGACAAATATGATATGTTCAGAACTTATGACAACCAAGATCACACAAGGGCATATATGGTATGTTTATGGCTTATTAATGACAACCAAGATTACACCAGGACAAGTATGGTATGTTCAGAACTTATCAATGACAACCAAGATCACATCAGAACAAATATGATATGTTCAAGAACTTATTGATGAAAACCAGGATCACATCAGGACAACTATGATATGTTCAGAACTTATTAATGACAACCAAGATCACACCAGGACAAATATGATATGTTCAAAACTTATTAATGAGAATCAAGAGCACATCAGGACAAATATTGTATGTTCATATCTTATTAATGACAACTAAGTTCACACAAGGACAAATATGGTATGTTCATGGCTTATTAATGACAACCAAAATTGCATCAGGACAAGTATGTAATGTTCTTGGCTTATTAATGACAACCAAGATTACACCAGGACAAGTATGGTATGTTCATTTCTTATTAATGACCACCAAGATCACATCAGGACAAATATGATCTGTTCAGAACTTATAAATGACAACAAAGATCACACCAGGAAAAATATGGTATGTTCAGAACTTTATAATGACAACCAAGAGCACATCAGGACAAATATGATATGTTCAGAACTTATTAATGACAACCAAGATCACACCTTGACAAATACGGTATGTTAATGGCTTACTAATGACAACCAAGATCACACCAAGACAATAATGGTATGTTCAAAACTTATTAATGAGAACCAAGAGCACAACATGACAAATATGGTATGTTTATGGCTAATTAATGACAACCAAGATTACACCAGGACAAGAATGGTATGTTCAGAACTTATTAATGACAACAAAGATCACACCAGGAAAAATATGGTATGTTCAGAACTTATCAATGACAACCAAGATTACACCAGGACAAGTATGGTATGTTCAGAACTTATCAATGATAACCAAGATCACATCAGAACAAATATGATATGTTCAAGAACTTATTAATGAAAACCAGGATCACATCAGGACAACTAAGTATGATACGTTTAGAACTTATAAATGACAACCAAGATCACACCAGGACAAATATGATATGTTCAGAACTTAATAATGACAACCAAGATTGCACCAGGACAAATGTTATATATTCATGGCTTATAAATGACTGACAGTCTAGATTTTATTAGACAAATATGGTTTGGTCATGGCTTAATTATAATGTACTTATAGATAAATGTATCAAGTATGTTACATGCTTTATTATATGTATAAAATTAATAAATAGAATTCTTTTATTTAAAGTAATTACAAATTATGAAAGTTCAAAAATATTCCCCTCACCCTTGTTAATATCAACTCTGAAATTGCAAAGTGATTTACACTTATTTGAGTTAATATCAAAATTTCTTTTTACTGAAAAGAAATTATTTCCAAATATTTCCTTCATAAAAAATTCAATGAAAAACCAATTCAAACAAATATATCACTAAAATAACAATGATCTTAAAATTTCATATGTTGTGTACAAACACTCAGATCTAATATTAAATTTTAGTATTAATGATAAAATATGTGTTCATATCAAAACCATATTATTTTCTTGTGTTTTAGGATCTGTACATGTATACACATATTTATTTACAAAGTATATTATTCATAGATGACCATTTTATGGCTGACAAGATATACAAATTAAGTTAAAGCACTTTTATGGACGGAATAAATATTTAGAATGCCAAAATTGACACAAGTATATATATAAATCTGTGCTAGCTGCAGTATTTAAAACTCACTGAAGAACAGTAGTAACCTTTTTGAGGTTTTTGTTTTTTTATGTTCTACAAACATACATAAAAACATTCATTTTCAAACCAAAAATAAGAAATATACAAAAAAGTCAAAAACTGTTGAAATGGTGACAATTTCCTTCATTGAAGACACAATAAAATATGGGATCGTTCTTGCAAAATGCAAGAATTTGAAAACGAGTTGGTTCAAGTTAAAACCTGAAAACAATAAATACTGCAGAGTTTTTTCTGTGAACACTTTGGATTCCAATTCTCTCTTCATTCAACCTACAAATAGATAAAACAATTTTCAGAAATTGGCAAAAATAATTCTTAACATTAACCATCAGTTACCATTTTGCTTTATTTCTAATGTAAATTCAAAATCTTGTAAAGAAAAATGACTAAAGGGAGATGTGTGGTACACGTCAATGAGACAGCAATCCTGTGTGGTACATGTCAATGAGACAGCAACCATGTGTGGTACACGCCAATAAGACAGCAACCATGTGTGGTACACATCAATGAGACAGCAACCATGTGTGGTACACGTCAATGAGACTGCAACCATGTGTGGTACATGTCAATGAGACTGCAACCATGTGTGGTACATGTAAATGAGACAGCAACCATGTGTGGTATACGTCAATGAGACAGCAACCATGTGTGGTACACGTCAATGCGACAGCAACCATGTGTGGAACAGGTCAATGTGACAGCAACCATGTGTGGTATACATCAATGCAACAGCAACCATGTGTGGTATACATCAATGAGACAGCAACCATGTGAGGTATGATCAATGAGACAGTAACCATGTGTGGTGTGATCAATGAGACAGTAACCATGTGTGATATACGTCAATGAGACAGCAACCATGTGCGGTACAGGTCAATGTGACAGCAACCATGTGTGGTATACATCAATGGGACAGCAACCATGTGTGGTATACGTCAATGAGACAGCAACCATGTGTGGTATACGTCAATGCAACAGCAACCATGTATGGTATACGTCAATGCGACAGCAACCATGTGTGGTATGATCAATGAGACAGTAACCATGTGTGGTATGATCAATGAGACAGTAACCATGTATGGTACAGGTCAATGCGACAGCAACCATGTGCGGTATTTGTCAATGTGACATCAACAATGTGCGGTATACGTCAATGAGACAGCAACCATGTGTGGTATACATCAATGAGACAGCAACCATGTGTGGTATACGTCAATGAGACAGCAACCATGTGTGGTATACGTCAATGCAACAGCAACCATGTATGGTATACGTCAATGCGACAGCAACCATGTGTGGTATGATCAATACGACAGCAACCATGTGTGTTATACGTCAATGTAACAGCAACCATGTGTGGTATACGTCAATGAGACAGCAACCATGTGTGGTATACGTCAATGAGACAACAACCATGTGTGGTATACGTCAATGAGACAGCAACCATGTGTGGTATACGTCAATGAGACAGCAACCATGTGTGGTATACGTCAATGCGACAGCAACCATGTGTGGTATACATCAATGAGACAACAACCATGTGTGATATACGTCAATGAGACAGCAACCAAATTGCAGCTAGAGGTAAACATACTGTTAAATATTATATAGGTGTCAAAATGTCAAGCTCTAAATCACCTTGTCACTAAATAGGTTGTCAATAAATTAAATAAAAACAATCAAAGGTCTGCCATAAACACTAACAAGCTTGCATACAATGCAGGGTTTGAACCTCATGTTTTTCAAGGGGCCATGTGGGCCCTGGTAAAATAAATTTGGAAGTCCACAATAAATAAATCTAAGTAACCCCCAAAATTTAAGGGATATTTAAATTTGTAATCAAAATTTGGGGAAACCTGAGAAAAATTAAATGCCTTTAAATTGAATGATTCTGCTTCAAGTTCTCTCATGTTCAGTCACTGGTTTTATTTGGAGAGGTTTTTGTGGGTATAAAATATGTCCATATTCTGTATTTTAATGCAATATTAAGCACTGAATCAGAATCTATCAAAGACTTGTTATGGACATGGCAGCTTACACTAGGGAAATTTTTCAGTAGTATTTCGGAGAAATGAAAATCTGAAGTCAACTAGATATCATTGAGATGGGAGCAATCTCTGTGGGCCCCGCTGTAGTAATAGCGGACACGATCTTTACCATAGGACATGGGGTTGTCAACTAAAACCGAAGTTTTTGACCTTGACCTTTGACCTAGGAAGTTGTACATACATTATGACACACCCTCTGGTGTTGGTTAATATACATGTCAAGTATAAACTTTGAAATCATAATGGTTCTCTAGATATACAGCAGACACAATTTGTTACGGACGGACAGACTGATCACTATAGGGTGTCCGCCATTCAGCTGGGCCCTAATAAAATGATTGTGTATCTGTAATGGCAACGTAGAAATTTATTAAGCAAGAACAAATTTTCACTTTCACTTTCTGACAAGTAAACTCGTGAAGAATAGATTATTTAGTTTTACACAGGAATGTACAGTAAATTAACAAGTTTCTTTATGTAGCAAGAAAACAAATACAGTGACCCCAATTTTTCTAGTTGTTTTCTGAAAGAACATAGTAAGAGCTTTCTTCTCAAATCTTATGTTAAAGTTCTATCCTTAAGTTTTCTTTCTGTTCACATAAGTGCTTGTTTCCATGTATAGTCCATACAATATCTAACAATTTTGCACAAACTCTAGTTTACACTTTGCTGTTGCGAATTGACCCTCCCCCCCCTCCCCCCACAAAAATAAAATAAAAAATTTACCCCCCCCCCCCCTTTTTTTTTGCTTTTGTGCAATACACTATGCTGTTGTGTATTAACCCCCACCCCCACACCATTTATTTTTGCAAAAAAAAATAATATTTGAAGAAATTTTCTTTTTAATTTCTGAAAAATTAAATGAGAAAAAATTTACCCCCCCCCCCCCCCCCATTTCTTTCCCTCAAGATATGGTCATAATCTCAATTCAAATTTCCAATGGAGTTTGCAGCCATAATTACCCATTTAAATTTACCATAGTGCTAACTTAATCTATTTTATAATAGAATTTAAAATATGGTGTCAAATCTTTCATATGGATTTTTTTGTAAAAAAAAAGATGCAACATTTTATTGGTCTTCCTTTATAAATATGCATTTCTTTAAACATAATTTAAAAGCAGTGTAAGGGAGGTAATTCAAATGATGTATTTGAAATACCTCCCTTACACTGCTTTAAATAATGTTTTGTACTTTGTATTTGTCCATTAATCAGGACACCCTTGATTTTCCCCCTTTTTTGCCTTCAATTCCTAAAAGGTTTGAGCCAAAACCCCCCAAAGCAAATCCTAACCATCCCTTTGTGGTATGAAAACTTGTGGTATAATTTCAGAGAGATCCATACACTTTTCCACAAGTTATTGTCTGGAAACTAGAAAAATGCTTATTTTTGGCCCCGAATTCCTTAACTATTGGTACCATAACTCCCAAAATCAATCCCAACCTTCCTTTTGTGGTATTGAACCTTATGGTAAAATTTCATAGAGATCCATTCACTTAAACTAAAGTCATTGTGCGAAAACCAATGTCTTCGGACGACGACGACGATGCCAACGTCATACCAATATACGAACGCATAAAAAACTAGAGGCTCTAAAGAGCCTGTGTCACTCACCTGCATCTTCAACAATGGCAACTTTTTAAATCATCATAAAAGGGGAATAACTCTATTAAGACAATTAACTGTTAACACAGAGATATGTCTTGCCTTGTTGTACTTTTGATAATGCAAATGTTGAAATTAAAATAGCAATACTTTAACATGTAAGTTATGCAAATATTCAAAGTCAATGAACCATGACTAAAGGTACATGGCAAAACAATCTCCATGGAAATGAGATGTGCCAATGCTAATACAACTGCATACCAAATACCATAGACTTATCATAAGTCGTTCCCTTTCAACAAACCTAAACACAAACATTGTCTTGTAAACTATGTAAAAGTTTCAAAGTCAATGAACCATAATGAAGGGGTGGGGCTATATAATCTCCATGGAAACGAGACTTGCAAATGCCAATAAATTTGCATACCAAATATCATTGACTTAACATTAGCGGTTCATCTTAAACTGATCTAATCACAAACTAATACTTGTAAACTAAGCAAAAGTTTCAAAGTCAATAGACCATGACTGAGGGGGTGGGACAAAATATTCTCCTTGGAAATGAGATATGCAAATGCTTATACAACTGCATACCAAATATCATTGACTTACCACTAGTGGTTCCCCTTGAACTGACCTAATCACAAACTAATACATGTAATCTAAGCAAAAGTTTTAAAGTCAATAGACCATGACTGAGAGGACCGAGCCAAATAATCTCTATGGAAATGTGATATGCCAATGCTTATACAACTGCATACCAAATATCATTTACTTACCACTAGTGGTTCCCCATAAACTGACCTAATCACATACTAATACATGTAAACTAAGCAAAAGTTTCAAATTCAATAGACCATGACCATGAGGGACCAGGCCCAAATAATTTCCATGGAAATGAGATGTGCCAGTGCTAATACAACTGCATACCAAATATCATTGACAAACCACTAGTGATTCACCTTAAACTAGACCTAATCACAAACTAATACATTGTTGACGCCACCGCCGCCGACAACAGCATACCTATGTCTTGCTTTTTGACTCCGTCAAGGCGAGACAAAAACAGACCAAAACGCAAAAACTTAACATTGAGCAATGAACTGTGACAATGAGGTCAGGTGAGCTAAAAAAAAGCACTATTTAGACTATATTTCGGGAAAATATGGAAAAATTCTATTGGTTTTAATATATAGTCCACATCTACCTAAAAGGAGCATTGCAAAGTCAGGGTCTTAATATAAAAATTTTTTGGTAGGAAATACCATTGAGGCCTTTTTTTTTAGATCAATATTTTTCTCTGTTGTCTCTTGATATGTATGAATATTATCATTATTTACAAAATCTTTCCTCCTGCTCTTTGTAACAAAAGATGTTCAGCTATCATTTTTTTTTTTCATTAAACAAACCTTTTTTCAATAAAAGAAGAATGCTTTTCAAACGTATATGGGACAGACAGAAAGACAGAAGGACAGAAAGACAAAAGGACGGAAGGACAGAAAGACAGAAAGAAGGAAAGACTGAAGGATGGACGGTCAAGGGTAGTACTTAAAAATATAGAAACACTGACCATGGCAGTTTTTTCTGACAACATAAATAAGTATATTGATGGCAATATCTCTGACATTACGTACCCATTCATTCTCAGACACACATGGATGTGATATCATTTAAATGGTGCTCTGTGTGATGCCACTGACCCTGACATATAACTTTTAGGTGTACCCATACCGGAGCTTTTACCCATTCTACTACTGCTGGCCATGGTACTGGCATTGGACAAACGACCTGATAAAAAAAAAGCAAAAAAAAACAGTAAACAAATATTTCTTCTATTTCTGATTTGTAAGGAAAAGTAAAAATCAATTAACTTTGTACATGGAAATTAGCAGTGGTATATTTATTTAGTAAAAAGACTGTACCATTTTTACAGAATTATGTGGTACAATTTTCTTATCAGGATTCTGATATTCAGATATATATTGCTTTGTTGTTTGTTTCTGAGAAAAACTAAAAACTTTTTTAAAAAATCCAATAGGAAATATAGAATGAATAAACAATCAAAACATATGTAGTAAGCAGAATATTGAAGCTGGAGCTTTAGAATGTACACAGTCAATGAAAGGTTATCTTAGTATCTAAACACTTCGGTCTTTAAAGTTTATTTGAAATGGTTTCCATACGCTCACTGTTAAACTATAACCATTTAAAAGCATTACATAATAAAAAAACCTAAAACAAGTTATATCTAAGAACCATATAATTAGTTCTTGAGGCCTAACCATGCATGCCTAATTCAAAACTGTCTTGTAGTAGTTGTATTAATATTACATGCAAAATATTTCACAAGGAAAATTCAGATTAACCCATTTTTAGAGTGATTGGTTGTTTATCTTCAAGTTGCAAATATTTCATGCATATTCAGAACAACCTATATTTAGATAACATTAGCTTTCTCTATTTAATAGTTCGAATAATAGGATCAAAGGTAATATGAAAATACATGCTTTAGTTCAAAAAATATGTTGACATGATTAACCTACATAATCCTGATTAATACACTAAGAACTAATCTATCAATTTTAAATCATGTTAAAGATTAAACTACAATCCATCACAATAACAATTATAATCCACCAAACTTTTGACTTACTGTTCTTGCCTAAAACAAAATTGCTGTATTAATTTATTAATACTTAATCAATTTAAAAACAGCAAAAAAAATCAAACCAAATAATGCTCCCTTTCAAATTCTCTTTAGAAAGTTTCACATACAGATAAAACCTTTCTTCGTATACTTTTCACTGTACACATGCTGGAATTATGTTCTATATTAATTCAATAACTTGAATTTATATTCAAATTATAGAAAGTTAACTGAAGACAGGAATTTTTTTTCAACTACACTTTATACCCTGTGCTTGGAAATCTGAAGTCATCTTTTGGATAGTTCTACAGACACCATCTAAACTTTGATACACATTAAGGAATATCCATGTCACAGATGACTGCAAATATGTCCAATTGTCAGTCAAAATCTTATTCTTTTATACTAGTTCATAACTAATGACCAAATGGGACTTATCACTAGATATCCTAATGTCAAGGGCATTATAACAAGTGATACATTGAACTAGTTTCAATAGCAGAAACTGCTAACCTTCCTAAAAAGGACAGTATTCCTAGTTTTTCTTTAGATCCCTTTCACTGCAAACCTGCACTGTAGATTATCAAATTAAATGGTTAGGCCATGAATATGATCTAAACAATAGAACACAAACAGGTCAAAACAAACAGAGCTCATAAAAATATCAATCAAAGAGCAATGAATGAGAAATTACTTGTATTCATCATCCTACTATTATGTCCTGAAATAAAAATACAAGTAATCACACTCTTACAATTAATCAAATTATGTAATTTTCCAGAAAATTTAAAAAATAGAAAAGCTGTTCAATGAGCTGTGAGAAAAGAACTAAGGCTCACAGATTTAGATTTTCTCATCTAGTTACAGATCTGAGACTTTCCACAGCAGATCCATTTTAAATATAAAGTCACTGCAACATATTTGGAACATAAAATCAAGAAAGGAATTAGAAAGAGGAAAGCTGACCAAACCATCAATGAAAGCACATCTAAAATAACACAGAACACAAGTTCAAGATATATCATCATATATAGTGTTCTACAACCTGCCTTATAAACTGTACCCACATTTATATCCAAACATAACATTTTTATACAATAATATCATTCTACAATTAGACCACTACATCTGTATTTTCATATTTATAGACAAATTCGTATGTAGTACCAAAGAGAGAACCGAAGTTATAAATTAGGTATCATGGACTTATTAGCCATCAAACATCAAAATACAGCCTCAAATATTGCAATGACAACTCTTAAATAACAATATTACATGATAATCTTACACACACTTAACTGGTACAAGGAAAAAATAGCTGTCTCAGTGATTATCTCCCCTGACAAATAAAACTTACTTCCTGTGCTTCTATCTTGTAAGGCATTATCTAAGTACATATTTAATCGATCTATATCATGTTGGTCAAAATCTTTCTGTGAGGCTGGAATGATTTCTTTTGGTGGCTTGGCTGCTTCTGTCACATTTTGATTAGGTGTACCAGTAAAAAGACCTTCTGGAAATGTTTTGTAGGCTATCCTCATTCCTAAAAATTAACAAATACATATTTCAATGAAATGATTAAATTTTTACTTTCAATATTTTTAAAGTTAATATAACTTGAGGTATGGGCAGCATTTAAGAATGTAATTTATGCTTTGAAGAACAAGGTCACACATGATACAAATGGAGTTTTTTAATCACAAAAAGTTTATTTTTTCAAAACTGTTTCAACGGCAGACATAAGGTAAATATTATGCACTCTATAGTGAAAGAAAAAGAAGGGTATTATCATTATAACAAAAAGTTGTAGCTTACCCCTGATAACAAAAACAAGTGATCATATCCCTTTTGGACTAGAGTTGTAGCTTACCCCCCTGATAACAAAAACAAGTTATCATATCCCCTTTGGAGAAGAGTGGTAGCTTACCACCTGATAACAAAAACAAGTTATCATATCCACTATGGAGAAGAGTTGAAGCTTACCCCCCTGATAACAAAAAACAAATAATCATATCCCCTTTGGAGAAGAGTGGTAGCTTACTCCCTGATAACAAAAACAAGTTATCATAATCCCCTTTGGAGAAGAGTTGTAGCTTACTCCCTGATAACAAAAACCAAGTTATCATATCCCCTTTGGAGAAGAGTGGTAGCTTAATCCCTGATAACAAAAACAAGTTATCATATCCCTTTTGAACTAGAGTTATAGCTTACCCCCTGATAACAAAAACAAGCTATCATATCCACTATGGAGAAGAGTTGAAGCTTACCACCCTGATAACAAAAACCAAGTTATCATATCCCCTTTGGAGTGGTAGGTTACTCCCTGATAACAAAAACAAGTTATCATATCCACTATGGAGAAGAGTTGAAGCTTACCCCCCTGATAACAAAAACCAAGTTATCATATCCCCTTTGGAGAAGAGTGGTAGCTTAATCCCTGATAACAAAAACAAGTTATCATATCCCCTTTGGACTAGAGTTATAGCTTACTCCCTGATAACAAAAACAAGCTATCATATCCCTTTTGGACTAGAGTTATAGCTTACCCCCTGATAACAAAAACAAGCTATCATATCCCCTTTGGACAAGAGTTATAGCTTACCCCCTGATAACAAAAACAAGTTATCATATCCCTTTTGGACTAGAGTTATAGCTTACCCCCTGATAACAAAAACAAGCTATCATATCCCCTTTGGACTAGAGTTGAATCTTACCCCCTGATAACAAAAACAAGTTATCATATCCCTTTTGGACTAGAGTTGAATCTTACCCCCTGATAACAAAAACAAGTTATCATATCCCCTTTGGACTAGAGTTGAATCTTACCCCCTGATAACAAAAACAAGTTATCATATCCCTTTTGGACTAGAGTTGAATCTTACCCCCTGATAACAAAAACAAGTTATCATATCCCCTTTGGACTAGAGTTGAATCTTACCCCCTGATAACAAAAACAAGTTATCATATCCCCTTTGGACTAGAGTTGAATCTTACCCCCTGATAACAAAAACAAGTTATCATATCCCTTTTGGACTAGAGTTGAATCTTACCCCCTGATAACAAAAACAAGTTATCATATCCCCTTTGGACTAGAGTTGTAGCTGCATTAGGCGCTAATCTTTCATCTTCATCACAAACTAAAATTATTTTTCCTGGAACATTTTTCTGTTAGAGGTTAAGGAATACATCTTAAAGAGACAATTAACATACTATAAAATTATCAAGAAATGAGTTGGAGTCATCTTAAAAGTTTAATCGTTACCAGAATGACTTGACCATTCTGGAAACAGTTGTGTCACTAATTACAACAGATGTATTCTATTTGTAATATCCATAATCGTATCATAATAACTTAACAGATTTTTAATTTTCATGAGCAACACCAGCAGCAACTTGTTGTCCTATCAGGACCCCAAAGTTTCTGATTTTTTAAATTTTTTGCTAAATCTTTTGTTTTCTGTGTAGTGTTTTTGTTGATCTTACCACCATGATGTTGACTGCCCTTTTTTTACATGTAATTTTTTAATTGCCCACTTGGTTTCTTCTCACTGGTCGATGAATTGTTTTAAAGTTCAACATTTTCCTTCTTTTTTTTTGACAAAGTGTCAATTTTAGTGTGGAATAGATCTTAATACATTTATTCACTTTGTTTCAGCGTAATCATGTAATATGAAAAACTTCACAACATTGTCTTCTGCCATGGTTAATATTGATCTCATATGATAACCATGGATACCAATACAATTAATTAGTATCTATATTAAAGACAAAAGGATACATATGCCAGCATGTCTTTTGTTTCAAAATTTGTGGCCCTCGACAAGTAGGCTGTTGGATAACTCTTGGCTGCAAAAAAGATCATATGATACATAAGAAATTACATGTATTCTATAGCACAGGTGACATATATTTAAAGTGATTTTATCAATTTACATATATACCAAAACACAGACTTGACAAATCATTAGTCTCATACCTACATTGTTAAATTATACCTCTTTAACTTCAGACATATAAAAACTTGGAAGTACTGCTAGCAAATCTTTAAAAATATACCCCTCCCTTCCCCATAAAGCAATGACTTAGCCACTGTTTTTCATAGAAACACTTAAAATTAATTCGGATCAAAAATCAAAATTTGAGGTGCAAAATGGCATTAAAAAGAAACACCTAAAATCAATTTGGATCCAAAAACAAAATAGGAGGTGCAAAATTGCATTAAGTGGTGATGATTCTAATAAAGTTTTAATAAATGAGGTGAGGAGTTGCAGATACAAAATGGGTAGCATACCCCTCCTTCAAAGTCCATTAATTGCTAAGGAAATCCACAAAAATAATTAGGATAAAAAAAACTAAAAAGATTGTGAAGATTCTGAGAAAGTTATCATCAAATTCTAATCTTGGGTTAAGAGTAGAAGCAAATAAAAATGAGTAGTGTAGAGTGGGGATATAACAAATCCATGTCATGCCCAAAATTATTTAGATGGAGAAATAAAATGGAAGATGCAAACATACATTACATGAGTAAAATTCTATGGAAGACTCCAAAATTTCTGTCAAGCAGTTCAGTTGCAATTGTGGATACAAAAGTTGAACAGAAGGACAAATGAATAAACAAACAGACGGACAGATCAGAATATATCACATGCAACAGAAAACGGTTGGCATTACAACAAATTGGAAACAACAAATCAGAAGATGAATGAATCCCTCTGTAGGATAATACTATATCACATGATCAGTACAATGAATGTATGATTATCTCCCTTTACCTGAGATCATATGAAACTGATCATAATCATCTTTCACCCGGATATCTAACAGCAAATATGGACAACCATCATCTAATAAGTCTGGTTTAGGAGCTGGTGGTGGTGGTTTGTCTATATCTATCTCTCCAACACCTCTTACAACTCTACAATCAAATCAATAACATTGGATTTAGGCTAATTTATTGTATCATGATAAACTTTTTGCAACAATCCCATAGTTGTTATCAACAAATATTTGCAGTCTGCTTAATTAGGATTTTTAATGTTTTATAAAATATATTGTAACAATTTTTCCTTCTATATATCCCCAACACCCTAACAACTCTACAATCAAATCAATAATGTTGACTTTTAGGTAAATCTATTGAATTTGATATACTTCTTTGAACAATTCCATAGATGTTATCAACAAATACTTGCAGTGATAAGTATTGTTTATCAAATAATTTTTTAATCAACATTTTGTATGCCATAAAATTTACTGTGATCGATGAATTTATCGATCTAGTCATTTAGTTTTCTTCTCTTTTTTATAAATTTTTGATGATTAAAGTTAAAAAAATTTATTTGTAGGAAAATGTTGACATAACAATCTTCCATACTGATTTAAAACATGTTTTGGAAGGAAAAACTAACCCCTGTAATGTAGATCTTTTTCCAGATCTATCAGGTTCACCATAATCTCCCTCAGTGAGAGCTAATGATGGAGCAGGGCTGATTCTTTGTCCTCCTTGTATTCTCTGAATCTCCATATCAGCTGTATCAGGTCGTGTTGATAAGTTTCCATTGTCTGCAAAACAAAAATATTACAAAATTAAGTTTTTTTTTTTTACCTCAATGTATATTTTATTCAAATCTTATTTTTGCTATTGTCTTAACTCAGGCTGGTTTAGAAATAAACTCTATTATTGTAGTGAGGATCAGCTATTTCAACAACTAACAAATGCCATTTTCATAGAAAAAATACATGAAATAGAAAGACAGTATATCCAGTATATTGGATCAAGGATATTGGTTTTGTACTTTTTTTTTATATGATATCTAAAATGGACAAACTTTTTTCATACAATCCATGAAAAATTTTCAATTGTTTTGTCATCTTCTGTAACTTAACTTATAACTGTCTTTTTTTTCATTTGGACAGGTCTATTAATATTGCCAAATCAGCTGCTATTTTCTATTTGTAGATTTTCATTTTTAGAACACAAAGTGGTTGATGTGTAACTGGGACCAATAGATAACCGATAGATTTGTGTATTATTCCCAGAAAGAGATGTGTCATTATTTCTGTTTATGCATCAAATAACACAATATTTGAAAGCAAATGCTACTTTGAAGATATTTATATTTCATGTACCTTGAATAAAAAAGCTTAAAACTTTGATTTTTGTTTTTTTCTGAAAATCTTGAATATTTGGTCAGAAGATCTGTAAACCAACAAATTAAAAAAAAATTTGCACAACAGTCAAAATTTAAATGAACTGTTTTGTTATGATAAAAAGCTTAAACTAAAATATATTGTTATTGTGAAAGAAAAGCTTTTTTTTCTTAATTCTTAGTTATATAAATTCTTTACTACATAAATAGATTGATGTAAGTACTTACTCATAGAACTATTACATGTGTCTCTTTGATATTCCCATACCTTAGTAACCTGAAAATAAAAATGTTGATGACGTCGCGGTCACATGACATAATTATGTCTATGAGCTGATAGACAAAACACTTTCAGCCAATCAGAGGACGTGTTACATCCAAAATTAAATTATTCCTTAATAAATATACTTTTAGCATGAAAAGTAAGAAATGAAGCAAAATTTACCAAAATAAAAATCTAAAGGGCTTTTCACTCATTACTATAGGACTCCTTTAGTCTAGAGAGTTCATGCTGTCTGGGTAATCTTTTATTTGACAAGTTTTCTTACTTGCAATATGTAAACCCATTAGAGCGTTATAGTTCTTGTAAATTGTGGTCTCAAACAAGGATACTGAATATTTTTTTAACACAATTTTGGTAAGTTGTTGAAGACTTGAAAGACCGTCATTTTTTGTTACTGTCAAATCCATACAGGATGTCACAACTTAAATGAACCTATACTGTGTATTCATTAATTTTCATGGATACCAATTTTCATGGATTGAGGAAACTTTGTATTTTCGTGGATATTTAATTTCGTGGTTTTACATATACAAGCCTATAGATAATTTGTACTTCGTTGAACATTTAAATTTGTGGTTCATCTGTAACCACGAAATCAACGAAAATTGGTATCCAACGAATAATAATGAATCCACAGTATCAACAGTTTGGCTGCATGAACTGATTGAAATTTCGTACATGTTTTTGTAAAAACATTTCAGAATAAATAATTGTGGATGCAAGTTTAAAACTGCAATGTTTATTTTAATGACTTAATTTTAAATTCATTTGGAATTGATCATGCTACTTCGATTTTGAGTTTAAATAAATTTCTTTGTCGAGCACAGCTGGATACGACCGCAGAGGTTCAACCCTGAACAGTTGAGGCAAAAATGGACACAATATTCGTGCTTGATACAGGTCTGAATTTGGATTGAAATTAAATGTTTGACACAGAAAAACTGTCAAAGAACTTAGAATTGGTTATGTGATTTGAATTTATATTCAATTTTTTGCTTTTGTGCAATTCACTATGCTGTTGCGAATTCCCCCCCCCCCCCCCCCAAAAAAAAAAAAAAGAATTTCACCCCATTTTTTTTTTGGCAAACAAATTTTTTTCACCCCACCCATTATTTTTTGCAAAAAAAAAAAAATATATTTGAAGAAATTTTCAATTTAATTTCTGAAATCTGTAATGAGAAAAAAAAAATTGTCCCCCCCCCATAATTTCTTTTTTACCCCCCCCCCCCCCCCCCCCCCCAATTTTTTTTTCATCTCCCCTACCCTTTTTCCAAAAAAAAAAATCTTTCCCTTTAGATATGGTCATTATCTCAATTCAAATTTCCAATGGAGTTTGCAACCATAATTACCAATTTAAATACATCATAAAAGTCTTAAAATAGAAAATGACATACATGACATACATGATCATGTCTAAAAATAATATATCTTTAATCAGCATTTTTATTAGTAACTTGACAGCTAATCACCTCAAGACAATACAAAATTTCTTTATACATAATTTTAAAGCAGTGTAAGGGAGGTAATCCAAATTTAACATTGTACTTAAAAGTGATTGTCCATTAACAAGGAAACCCTTGTTTATTCCCCCTTTTTTGCCCCTAATTCCTAAACGGTTTGAGCCATTACCCCCCAAAGCCAATCCTAACCATCCCTTTGTGGTATGGAAACTTGTTGTACAATTTCAGAGAGATCCATACACCGTTCCACAAGTTATTTGCTGAAAACTAGAAAAATGCTTATTTGGGCCCTTTTTTTGGCAGCTAATTCCTGAACTGTTAGGACCATAACCCCCAAAATCAATCCCAACATTCCTTTTGTGGTTAAAAATCTTGTGTTTAAATTTCATAGATTTCTATTTACTAATACTAAAGTTATTGTCCGGAAACCAAGTGTCTTCGGACGACGACGACGATATGATACCAATATACGACCACAAAAATTTTTTGCAGTTGTATAAAAATTGGCTAATTCAAGTCGAATCATGAATGAATTTCTGAGTTACGATACAAGTTTTTCCTCTGTTTTTGAGAATTGTACTTGAAAAAGTGTTTAAATAAAAACATCCATACTACTTACCAACTGAACAAAAGTGGCTGCTTTCATTCGTTTGAATATTTCATCTTTTTTGAATCTGTAATCTGAAACAAAGAATCAATGTTAGTAAAAACATTTCTTAGGCAGATTTAATGTAAGTAATTCTATATAAATTTTAAAATCTATAAAAACATTTCTTAGGCAGATTTAATGTAAGTGATTCTAAATAAACTTAAAAATCTATAAAAACATTTCTTAGGCAGATGTAATATAAGTGATTCTAAATATACTTAAAAATCTATAAATACATTCAGAATTCAAGCTCAAATAAAAATCATAGTGTGAAATAAGAACGACTTTTAATCAGCAGAATTCATTTACAGTTATAATTATAAACAAGAATGTGTCCATAGTACAAGGATGCCCCACTCCACCATCATTTTCTATGTTCAGTGAACTGTGAAATTGGGGTCAAAACTCTTAATTTGGCATAAAAATTAGAAAGATCATTGCAGAGAAACATCAAAGAACTTCAAATATTAGATATTTTGACAAATGTAAACAGTTGAACAATAGATTGTGTGAAGTTCAGACACAAATGTTCAGTTTCTGGTTTTTTAAGAGAACTCTTGACTTCTATATTTAATAATTTATTAACACAAATTGGTAAAACAGGGTTTTCAGTCATCTTTTTGCTACCTGTCTCTTTATTTGATTGGTCTGTAGTAACTATTGTCTAGGTTATATACAAATGTTATAATGATTGTATGGTCATACTAGCAGATAAGCAAACTTAACCTAATTTGTACCCACTCAAGTATAATATGCTATAATGCTCTTATCATCTATATTTTTGCATCTTTTCTTTTTTTTACAGTTAAAATATCTGTTGTAGTTCTGAAAGCTTACTGTAATAGCCTGCTTTGATCCCTATCATTATATTCAAGTAAATAATTTAAAGGTTTGAATTATATTTTGGATGGTTTTAATGAATAATTTTCTGGATGATTCTATGTAATCAATTTCAGAATACATGTATAATGTAAAGATTAATACTTTCACTCTCAACAAGACATCACAAATATGAGAAGTTATCAACATTAGAGAAAGACAAATAAACATTTTTAATGTGTGTTAAAGGTTTATATACTAAAATTCACAACTGAAAACACTAATTTCATCAAAGTGTGTTTCCATTCAGAATTATTGCCCTAATATTAAATTTAATCCACTACAACGTCACTGAATGTGTGTGTTCAAAAAAGGCATACATAATACTTCATCTTTCCATTGGATAATTCAGTTGTTAACGTAATATATTTTTTTTCTGAAAGCATTCATGAATCATATGGGAATCATCATCACAAAGGAGTAGGTTAAGGTTACATAAGGAGTTAATTATATGATCCCTATTTCTAGCTAAAATCATGCATTTAGATTTATTGACCAATATCACAATCTATCATAGCTAATACAAAGACTAGACAGGAAATGGCTTTTTTGTTGAAAATTAACCTACATGTATTAGCATTCTTTTCATGATGTCACAAAAAGCACAAAGTTTGAATTTGCACTAAAAGTCAATTAAAAACATGAGAATTTCCAATGAAATATCAACGCTTCATAAGAAGTTCAAGATATGGACCAAAAACAGTTCTATTTCATTTTCTTGCAAGTCTATTCATCAACTTTAAACATGTTTTATCTAAAATGTAAAAATGTTGGACTTAACATTCTGGACCAAAAATGGCCCTTACCAAACTTACTCCCCAGATATTTTAAATAATTTCAATGTATCTTTCTCATGGGGCACCCATATGAGATCCAGCAAATAGTAGAATATTAATGGCCCGATAAAATTGTATGATGAATTGCATTTTTTTATTCAAATTCTTTTATTTCATTTAAATCTTAAAAGCAATCATATATAGTTAACTTCTGGCCAAGGTCTGATAAACAATTCACGAAAATCTTTAAAAACTAATGTCAAACTCAAAATCCTAAATTAATCACTGTATATTGGTTATTCCTTCCCTATGAGGATAACCTCGATAGAAAGTCACTTTTTATAAGGAAATTACATACTGATCAAAAGAGTTGTAAAGATAAGGATGAAGTCATCCCTTAAAAAGTATGTGTACATCTTTGTGGTTGACAATTAATGAATATCCTGGTGAGATGTGTTCCATTTGTTGTAGCCACAATACAACCTTACCCTGAACCTTACAATTTCACAATGCAACCTTACCCTGAACCTTACAATTTCACAATGCAACCTTACCCTGAACCTTACAATTTCACAATGCAACCTTACCCTGAATTATCAGTGATACAACATATTTGCCCTGACCAATACAAAAGGTGCACCTAATGGAGCAGAAACTACTGACCTTTCCAGAGCAACAGAGTTCAGCCTGTTTGTCATTTGGTTCTATAGTTTTATGAGTAGTGTTTTTTGGACTGTTGTTTTTTTTTTTGTATTATTTCTTTTGGCCAAGGTGTTGCATGTACTTACTCAACATGCAACTATTTTATAACCCCTCCTTTGTATATCTTTATTTTTTTTGTAACTGTGTAGATAAAATACAGTAAATATTGAACTTGTCCCAATGTATTCCGGCCAAACAATCCACTGTACTTTTAAAAACCATTTCAAACACAACTTTTCTTTCAATGGTCAATATTTAAATCATGACCATTTTGGAGAAAGTTCCAATAAACACAGCTTCTCTTAGTGAGTCTATAGTATATGGGGTATTAAAGTAAACATGTGTCCTAGTGATTATAGACTGAAGTGTTTACAGGTTAATCAATGACCTATAAATACGATCAATGTCAATTTTTACTATTCTGTCCATCTTCAAAAGTTCAAACTCATGATCAATTTACAATGGATGTCAAAATGCATCTAATGGAACAGCATGCTAACAAAATGTCTGATACCAAATTTCCTGGCGTTCTCATACATTATTCTTTAAAAAATTAGGATGAAAATTTCATACATGGTCATAATGTGAAAAATATATAAGAATTTGGTAAACAGGAAGTTGATGAGTGATGAATATGAAAACGTATCATGATTATAACATGCTCATATGAAGTCTAAAACTAAATTTATGGACACTGAAATTTGCAGTTTCTGCAAAAATGTGTCAGAATTTGATGGGAGGGACAGATGGAAGGATGGACAGACAGTCATGCCACCGTCACAGACCCCATTTTGCTGGCCTAAGCATCCCATTATCTTACATTTTTTGACATTTACTGCAGGAGATACAAAATCTGTAGAAGCACAATCAAAGTATAGCTGACAAAAAAAAGAAAGTGAATTGTACAGCACCAATTCAAACAACTGGGAATTTAACCAATTCCTGCCTCTCAGAATGTTAAGTAATCATACGATATGTATTCCTTTTCTACTAAAATATCAGAAGACTGTCTTCAAACTTGATTTTTTTAACCAAAACTTCATTGCTAGGGTGTTTAAATTCACAAATAAAAAAATAAAACTTTTAAAGTTTAAATAACTATATATGAACAAGTTGAAAATCTGAATGATTGTTTGCTATCTACTTAATTTCATATAAGTAAGATTTCCATCAAATTTAGATCAATATTTTCAAAAGGTATACACAGATGATAATAAGTATTTGTACAACAATAGAAATTTGGAACACTCAAAATTAAATTTTATAAGTGGTTTAGAATAATATGAGTTAAAAATAAAGTTTTTTAAATCATTTCATATATTTCAGCTAAATGTAGCAATAAAACAGACAAAAAATGAAACCATACAACAACAAGGGTAGCTTTAAACAACTTACTAGATGAAGACAATAGGTAACTGTGCCTGTTGCTCTCATAACCACTCATAGATATCTAGCATACAAGTTATGTCTGTTCAATTATCATGACCCAATTTTATATCTTTTTTTTATAGATACATGTACAATACATTATTCAAAATTATATATAACTTATGGTGATATAATTTCAACAATAGAGTCTCTCATATGAATCACTGATTTTGAACTGAACCTTTATTTCACTTTGATTTAAATTTTTTAAAATAATCCTTTATAACTACAAAGCATCAAAACATTGATTTGGGTCTAAAAAGGCAAAATCAGATATATATAGATTGCATTGTATAAGGAAGAAAAAAATATTCCAGCATTGTTTTTTTCATAAGAAGTTTTTTAGTCCCATTACTGCAACAACAATTAAAAAATGTCATGGTGAGTATAGACCTATAGGTGATCATTCCTACAGGAAACGTTGTGTTAAAATCTGTAAAGCAAATTAAACTAGTGACATCTGAAATAAAATCTTCTTTTAGATTGAGTAAGGAGTAAAAGTTCTGCAACCACAAAAGATGAAATCATCAAAAGGAATATGGATAAGGACCCCTTAGACCACCATTTCGAGTAATCTAAGAAAACCTAAAGTTAATTTGAGTTAAAGCAACAAGATTTTCAACAGCTCTGAACTTCACGGAAACAGCTCCCCTTCCACTTTTTTCTGAAACCTTATAAGATCTAGGTCAAATTGAAAAGAAAAACACAAACAATTCCATAAGAAATATAACAAAATCAAATTTAAAATAAAATTTTGGGTTTTGGTCTTTCTTTTGCCTTCAGTATCTTGAAATATAGTCAATCTTTTTAAAACTTAGCAAGAAATGAATCCACAATATCACGTGTAAATCCATCCAAAAATAAACAAGATACTATTTTGGGTGAACAGATCCTTTAAGCTCCCTTTACCTCTTTTGGTATTTTCTTCATACATTTAGCACTTGCATGTATGCTGACAGTTGTCCACGCTTTACCTTTTTTTACCCTATTTGATAGAAAAACTTTTGTTCTGCACATTTTGTACAGACCTCATACACATTACATTAATACTTTAGGCTCTTGGCAAATTTAATCACCTTATACTTTTGAACTGTTTCTACCCATTAGTGATACATTTAAATAAGAACATCACTGATTTCTGTCCCCAAAATCCATCAATTATACAGATTTTCTCTCAATTAAACCCTTAAAGTTGATATCATGAAATTTATAACACTTTAAACTACCAGTTCACCATGTTTATAGTTGTTTTATCACTGTGAAACTAAGAACGAACACATCTACATAATAAACTGAAATGTTTACTTGTCAACTGTAGTTGTAAACATTCATTTATATAAATTAAATTTTTACCTAATCAATAAAATCTATTTGAATTTGAATAAGTCTTACAAAGAATAAATACAAAACATGGCTGTGATCATTAACAGGTACACCACAATTCATTTTTCAAATGTCAATGGTGTATCTCAATACAATTATTCCTTAGCAACACTTGACTTGTATTGATGTTTCAACTGAGGCTGATCATGAGCAGTCAAAACTAATTGAAAGATTAACTTTTTTAGCTTTACTGAACTCAATAAAAAAATGTTCTGTCTCTTTTCAATCTTCTTTTTTTTTTCTTCAAATGGATCAATTTTAAATTCCAATGGATTAGTTTTTCCTTTTCATTTAAATTTACAACTTTCCTTCTTTGATGGGAAACAATTTTGATATGTGTAATATAATAATATCAAGCTGTTATAGGATGACCTTTCAAAAACTACTAGTGAACAGCTTAACCTTCTAAAGAGTAAAATCTTTCAGTTTCAAATAAATTAAAGAATCTGTCAGATAAATAACAAATGAAAATTCGATTTTCGCTTTCATTTCAATCCTACATTACAAAAATCACTTTCACCTAATCTACAAGCTCTTGTCTGTAAAACAAGAACAACATCAGACAATTTAAATTATAATTTAACCTATTTAGTAAAAAATATAAAAGCTTACCTTTGTGAAGTGATGTTAAAATTCTTACTAATTCTAATCTATTTTCTTTGAATAATTTTGGCCTCACAGGTGGTAATCTTGGAGACATGTAACTAGTATTATGAGTTGCTAAATTCCCTTTTTTAGGCATTTTAATTTTCAAATATCAGTTCTCTGCTAATTTCATCAATTTATTCCTTCATTTTCCTCATTAAAATTCAATATTGCATCTGCCCTAAGTAACAGCAAGTTCAAACCTTCACAACTTAATTATGTCAATAACTGTATGCTGAAGGCTTTTAATCGTCACTTGTACATATTTACTTATATAACATGGCTTTCTTAAGCTGGTCGTAACAAAAATAAGTAAAATGATTTTGGTTCCTTTCCGATTGACGACCCAAAACCTCTTACAGCTGAACAACTAATAACGAAGTGAATGCCTATGATTTTATGATAAAGAAATTGTGTTGATTTATTCTGTTGTGTGATATATAAATGAAAAGCTGATTATGTGCTTTATTAAAATCTATATATCCATTAAATCTCTATCGACAATTCAAATCTTTTAAATTCAGTTTGAATGAAATGGTAAAGACGTTTAATTTCAATGATGGTGCCATTTAATTTTGTTTGTTCTCCACATCATTAACCATTATTCCTGTAATATTGTGAATATCAATGACTTTTAACACTTTACATTAGTTACGTAACCGATACAGAAATTATTACAATGAAAAGAGTAAAAGGCACAAAATTCAAGGTTTTTAGTTACCAGTATGTAGGCTACAGTAGCCCCATGATGTAATACTATTGCATATTATAACTGGTATTTCTGTAATTTCATTACCATAAATTACTGATTTTTTTTTTCCTTACAAAGAATTATTAAGATAGTTGGACAGCATTCAATATCTTAATTTGTTTGGAAACATATATCAAGACAGTCCACTGAAAAACATTTAGTTTTTCAATTAACGTAATAAAATAATTATAATCTCTATGAAGACTTTCTTGCTCACTAAACACCCATAGACACTCAATTTGAGTAACAGCATCTAGTGAAATTTATTGCTTATTGTGTTAGATAAAAGGTTATGTTCTATTCAAACATTTTGTAATAAGAAATGAATCATAATGGCTTATTTATAAAAAAAACTGCTTCGCTGAGCGCAGCTGGATACGCCCGCAGAGGTCCAACCCTGAACAGTTGGGGCAAAAATGGACACAATATTCAAGCTTGATACAGGTCTGAATTTGGATTGTAATTAAATATTTGACATATTATAGGTTTCTGAATAAATGTAGTCAAAGAACTAGATTACATCAATAGCTATAAATAATTCACCAAAGTTTCATGAGAACTGCTGAAAGCATTTTTGAGTTATTGTCCAAAAACTGGAAAATCCCCCCTTTTTTAATGAATAAAACCCCCATAACTCAAAAATGTAAAATCTTAAATTTATAAAATTCTAAAGGGAGCTTACATCAACAGATATAAACAATTCACCAAAGTTTCATGAGAACTGCTGAAATCATATTTTAGTTGTTGTCCGAAAACTGGAAAATCCCCCTTTTTTAATGAATAAAACCCTGTAACTCGGAAACGTTAAATCTAAAATTTATAAAAATCCAAAAGGGAGCTCATGTCAATAGATATAAACAATTCACCAAAATTTCTTGCAAGTTGGTGAAAGCATTCTTGAGTTATTGTCGGAAAACTGGAAAATCACCCTTTTTAATGAATAAAACCCCAAAACTCGGAAACGGTAAATCTGAAATTTATAAAAAACGAAAGGGAGCTCACGTCAATAGATATAAACAATTCATCAAAGTTTCATGCATATTGGTTAAAGCTTTTTGAGTTAATGTCCGACATGTTGACGACGGACGGACAGACGGTATACCATAATACATCCCGTAAACATGCGTATAAAAATTGAGATATGACAATGATCATAATGATATCAAAATAATATGCACTAATATAATTAATTGATGTTAATCTAATATGAGTTCAAATACACCAGCAATACTCTTTTGGTTATTAATATAAATAACTCTTCATAAGTATTCAGATTTTTCATTTCACCTCTGTCATGTGTCTGTAGGACAAATTATTCTGACTAATGAAATATGATTGTTTGACAATACAAAATATGATTATACATATAATATTCATTTGAAGCTGAACAATTGAAAAATAATCTATTTCTTCACAAATGTTTATATTTTACTTTATTGAAGCATTTAAAACCATTTTAATGTTATTTGCTTTTCATGAACACTTTTCATTAATATAATACTTAATACTAGACAAAGTTCTCCTGAAATCTTAATTTATTTCAAATAAGGGGATGTAACTCCAGTTAGCAGAGAATATCAGTTTTAAAAGACTGGTACTTTGTAGTTTACACCCTAGTTTTACTTTAAGTTACTGTTTCAATTTCAATGTGTTTAAGCCTTGTATGTATAATTCATTACTTCTATCTAGTAAGTATCTCTTTTCAGATTTGCTTGTACCACCTGTTTACTTTTTGGTTAAAGGAAGGGTGACGACTGGTTCCTCATATTTGCAATATACATGCTGCACATTGTAGGAATAATCTAAATATTGTACTTTCATATTTATTGTTCTATAACATTCTAAGATATTTAAGTAAGACATTCTCTTTATCAAACACAAAAAACATACTTTTTACCCAAAAAAACCCCATATTATTGCTCTGTTAAAAGACAATATACCTCAACATTCCTCATGGTACCCATCCAAAAGGCCATTTCATTATTTACAAAGTTAATATACTGGCTGACAATTCTTAACCATTGTTCACTGAATGGACACTGATGTATACTGAACCCAGCTTTAATAATGGATTCAGCTCAAGACAAAGGAGCATTTTGTATTTATACAACCACACACTGTGACACACCATGAGTGGTTAGTTCCAAGATTTTTGATGGAGTCAACCATGTTAAAAAGAAAAGGAAACCTATAGAAGTAGAAACTGTGATATTTTAGGAGCACCAAGGTTCCCTGATTCTATCAGAAATGTATTTCTCAAGTTTTATAATACTAGAACACACCCACAACATCGAGGGTCTGTGATTGAATTGAATTAATAAGTCTATTTTTAGCCAGGATTTTTTGTATTCATATTGCCATCTGATGGGTTTGAACATGTGCTTTATTCTTACCATCTTACTTTTTTACCCTGGAAAGATGTCAAAGTGGAGCAGATATCGCTTGGAGAACCTAATGTTGTCTAGTTGTGATGCATGTTTGCCACTTGTTATCCCATAAGTTTCTAAAGAAAGTGTGGAGATATTAGAATGGGTATGTCTATCTATAATTAATTATACCTCGTGTATTTTATTGCACCTTCAGCAATCACTTTGTTCCTCCAATAACAGATTAATTAGTGAGGATAAAGAATTAGTATGACATGGCACTCAAAATGAGTAGCTGTAGGCAGTTAGCAATTAACAATTGGTCCGAATACACAGTTATTTCGTAGTGCATTTCTTTTAGACAATAAATGAAAATAAAAAAAATCCCACCTGCGCTTTCTCAATAATATTTTTACAGTGTGTTGTACTACTTTTGGGACAAATTATATCAAAATTATAGAAAACTTCATCGGCTCTAACTCAAAATATGGACAATTCTATGTTAAGGGGGTCTTGAAATCTTTTGACAGCTTCCGAAGTGCTAATTTTTAACCTTTTTCAGCTGGACCAAATCACTACTTTACTTTACAATTCATGACCCAAATTTTTTTACAGTGTAATTTCATACCCCTACTTGCTATTTGAGGCATAAAACATGAAGAAATACATTTGGAAGGGGTACTAAAAAAATTGGCAAGCAACACACTGTCCACACTAGGGACTTTATTCGTGGACAACGAAAATCAAAGGACGATAACTGTGTACTCGGACCTAATAGGATAGAAAAATTTGACCAATCTTAATAAAACTTGGAATGACCAAAGCTTAATAAATTATGAGACTGCTGACAGAGTTTCATGGCAATAGGATATATATTATAGACAATATAAATTCTATATTCAACTTCGCGTGTTAAATTTTGACGTTAAAATTGAAAAATTTCAACTATCAACATTTGGGGCTTTAAAAATTAAAATATTGCAAAAAAATACATTTTAAATGCCTTAATATATGACATATTATGTATTTAAAGCAATAGAATACTCATTTGATTTATCAGACTTATCACAATTATTTAAAAGTCAAATTTATATGAGCCTGTGCCAAAAAATGGAGGTTTTCCAATGAAGGGGGGCCTTACATGAAGATGTATTATTTTCCAGCAATTTTATTTTTGTGGAGTTTTTTGGTTATAAATAATCCTTACATATGTATTAAATGTACTTTAAAAGGAAAGAAAAATTACAAATAGCATACCATATTAGTATCAAAGGGTCTGAAGCCAAGTAAGACTGAAAAAAATTTAGGGTCAATTTAGGCCGTAGCACATATTTACATTTAAAAATGCATACTGAAGCTATAGGAAATAAAAAATTGTGTCTTTTTTATAATTTCTATACTCAGGTTGCATGATACAATAAATCTGAGCATAAAAGGACTCTTGCATTCAACTTTTTTTGCAGACAGTATGGTCTGATACAAAGATTTTTCACTTTTTAGTGAAAAACTTGCATGCAATTTTAGCCTCAACAGGCTTATATTTGAACCACTTGCTATTTAACATAAGAAAAGAAAGATACTATGTGAAATGAAACAGGTACAAAAGACATTGTGAAGTGCTTTTAATACAAATTTAGTGAAATCTTTAATATGGACTTCAACTTTTATGTACCAAGGTCCTCACATTTAACTTGATCCAAACAGGCTGTTAGACGAGGGTCATTTATACAACACATTTTGCACATATTGTCTGAGATAATCTTATTTTCTGTAGATTCAGAGTTCACAAATGAGTAATACAACTGGGTTAAAGCATAGAAACACAAATATTGACACAGGAAAACCTGTCACATAGAAAGTCAGAATGCCACTTATGCATCAAAATTGAAAAAGCTTTGAAATGCTTATTTTGACCATATAATGCCAAAATGGGTAATTTTTGCAGAATTTCTATCAAATAAAAGTTTAAATCCTTTAGTTTCATGCTATTTGACAAATTGACACCATTAAATCATTCAGGGAAGTTGCCAAAGTACAGATTCAATATTTACTGATTTCGCCTTTTAGGTCCGAGTACACAGTTATTTCGTAGTGCATTTCTTTTAGACAATAAATGAAAATAAAAAAAATCCCACCTGCGCTTTCTCAATAATATTTTTACAGTGTGTTGTACTACTTTTGGGACAAATTATATCAAAATTATAGAAAACTTCATCGGCTCTAACTCAAAATATGGACAATTCTATGT